ACACCTGCACTGAATGTTTCTTTTGGTGGAGTGTATAGTATGTACTTGGGTAGCCCTTGTAGCACAGGTGTAAGTAACAGTGTAGATGGGGAGGCCTGGCTTAGGTAAATAGAGTGCAGACATGCCTGAAGGGTGTGCGTATGTACCCCAGTACATACCCTATAAACTCTGTACTTGCCCAAGCCCTGCCTTCCTGTCTACACTGCTACTTTTACCTGTGTATGGTCCCACTGCCTCCCAGCTGCTGCAGCCTTTCCCTGCTGCTGGAAAAGTAGCCTTTCCACGATACACATAGCTGTACACTGCAGCGTGGACGCAGCTTGATTTTCACTGCAGCATGTAGCTACATATATCCTATATGCCGGCTGAAAGTGGTGTGCAGTGTAGGCATAGTCTTAGATGTTGCAACACTGAACATCACAGCACCTAACGTATAAGTGCTTAGAAAAATAACTGTGAACCACAAAGCCTGAGTGAGGCACCTATACAATGAATGGGGAGTCACAGCCTCCTAAGAATGTGATCCACAAAACCAGATGCTAGGCCTGGAACCACCTAAGCTAGCCAATTGGAGACGTTGATCAGAGATGGTCTCCCATATTCTGGGCACCTTATCCACTAGGCTAAAGATTGCAAGGAAGGTCCTCCTCTCCCCCCATAGTTGTTTTTTATGAACTTGCTTGAGGGGCCCAATCTAGTAGGCATATTCAGAGGCTGCCTACTGGTTCAGGGACCCACGCGTGACTTAGTTGCCCAAACAGCTTTGTTCCACAGTTTGTGAATTGCTCTGGGGCTTACGTGGGAGATACACATCCAGATACCTATCATGGGCAGTAGCCTGCATGCTCAGCCGGGTGATAGGTGACCAGGTGCCTAGAATGAGGCTGCAGTGCACTTGTCCCAGAGACCACAACTTAGGCACCAAATCAATGTAGATGCTTACAGGATTAGGTGGCAGCCAAGCGGGAGTTTTGTTAATTGCAATGGTGCCTAAAAATGGGATTTAGGTGCCTATGTACCTTTGTGAATCTCACCCATAGTCACTAGGGCAAGCTGGTGCTATAAGAAGAGGGTTTAAATAAAAAGTCCCATTATAGATTTTGAAAAGTCACTAAAACATTTCTAAACTTTAAATATAGACTCATAGACTCATAGACTTTAAGGTCAGATGGGACCATTATGATCATCTAGTCTGACCTCCCGCATGATGCAGGCCACAAAGCCGTCCCTACCCTTTTCCCTTGACTCAGCTGTTGAAGTCCCCAAGTCCTGTGGTTTAGAGACTTCAAGTAGCAGAGAATCCTCCAGCTAGCGACACTCCCCACCCCCATGCTGCGGAGGAAGGCGAAAAACCTCCAGAGCCTCTGCCAATCTACCCTGGAGGAAAATTCCTTCCCGACCCCAAATATGGCGATCAGTAGAACCCCGAGCATGTAGGCAAGATTCTCCAGCCAGACCCTCATTGGCCATTGATACTATTTACCAGTGATGGCACGCTGTTTGTTTGACTAAAATCACGTTATCCCATTAAACCATTCCCTCCATAAACTTATCTAGCTTAATCTTAAAGCCAGACAGGTCCTTCGCCCCCACCATTTCCCTCGGAAGGCTGTTCCAATATTGGAAGGCTGTTCCATATGTAACATATGCTTAACATATGAAAAGGTTTGATATAAATATTTTATTGACAGCTATTGGGAATGGCCTGCCTAACTCAGTTCTGGCTGACAAAACCTTTATCCCACACAATCAGTTATACTCTATATTGTGTGCTTACACACATACATGTAAACACAAAACATGCTAAAATATTTGTTTTATGATGTGCTATAAAGAGTGGTTATAGACCATCACATAAAAAATGCTTTAAAAACACAATTAGAAATTTAGAAACAGATTCTTAACTCATGTTAAACTGATTGCAATTGAGCTATGCTGAGTTATGTCAGCTAACTACTTGGGTGCATATTATTTGCTTCTCTTTGGGTTCAAAACTGCTGTACTGCTACTATCTCAGACTTTTTAGTGAATTACATTGGAGCTATGGTGAGGATGAATAATTCCATAGGGGAAGGCTCAAAAATTGAGGTCGGGTTTAAAGTCAGGCTTTTATATTTTAGGAAGTATATGTCTGTGAAAAAGGACACTGTGTTAATGGTAATCAGTGAATCATTCACATTTGTGTAATATTATATATAGTTTTTTTATCCTTTTTAGATCACATCCCCTAAAGTGCAATATGATTACGTGCATTTTTCTAATTAAGAGAGAGGTAGTAGATGTACACATTGTAGAGAAAAAACAAACATTGCTTATATTTTTGTACAAAGAAGGTCTCATACCTGTCTCCTTCTGGCAGTATACAATAGCCATGTCCTCTGTGTGAGTGATAGCAAGTGCCAGGAATTATAGATGAGTGACTCTTAACTGGCTAACAACAGAAGAGAGCACTATGTTATGTCAAACAGACAGTCATAGGGTCCACTGAATATATTATACAGCAGTGAAATACAGGAAAAACATATAACTTGGAGATATGTTTATATTTTCAAAGAGAGAAAAAGAGAAAACAGATTTATAACTATCAGCAAAATTTGGTCCTATATTTGTATATTTGTGTATTTCCAGTTTGATTACAGTGGGAAAGTTTTGTACTATCTAACATCTCATACAACATCATTAAATGCTATGTAATTTAACGCAGAATTTAGTCCTGTAGCAACCTCCTTTGTCCCTTTTTTAATTGTGCATATAGAATGTTGGTAAGTCTAGAAAGGGTGCCTTGTATAAAGCAGCTGCAATTATTTTTTGATTAGCAGACTCCTTTCCATTAAAATTTGGACCTAAAATTTATTCTGTGGATGTGCTTTTTGTGGTCTTATTTATTACTGTACCTGGAGGTAATTTGGTAATACACACAATGTGTCTTGAGGTCTGAAAAAAGAACAAAGTAACTGAAATATTTTCCCAATTTTAGTTGCTAATAATTGACATAGTGCACTATACCCTATTCCTACTTCCTAATACTCTCTCATTTTAAAAGTTTCCTCAGCCAGTTGAAACTAATTCAGCTACATCCATACAGAATGAGTTCATTCAAATACTGTAAAGTGCTTCTTTTTTTGCATAAAAGTGGCTGGCTGCTTCTGGGTCTAATTTACACTTTCAATCATGCTCACACAGTGATCCAGACTCAAAGAGATTATAGAGTTCCACTTAGCACAGAATCAGAGAATCATAGGGCGGAAGGGACCTCGAGAGGTCATCTAGTCCAGTCCCCTGCACTCATGGCAGGACTAAGTATTACCTCTGGCACACGGCTTGCCACGGTAAGCACCTTGGCGGGCTGGGCCAGTTTGTTTACCTGCCGTGTCGACAGGTTCAGCCGATCGCGGCTCCCACTGTCCGTGGTTCGCCGCTCTAGGGGTGGCGGGAAGCCGCAGCCAGCACATCCCTCATCCCACCCCGCTTCCCGCTGCCCCCATTGGCCTGGGACAGCAAACCGCGGCCAGTGGGAGCTGCGATCGGCCGAACCTGCCGACACGGCAGGTAAACAAATAGGCCCGGACCGCCAGGGTGCTTACCCTGGCAAGCTGCGTGTCAAAGGTTGCCGACCTCTGACCTAGACGATCCCTGACAGGTGTTTGTCTAACCTGCTCTTAAAAATATTCAATGAGGGAGATCCCACAACCACCCTAGGCAATTTATTTCAGTGCTTAACCACCCTGACAGTTAGGAAGTTTTTCCTAATGTCCAACCTAAAGTTCCCTTGCTGCAATTTAAGCCCATTGCTTCTTGTCCTATCAGCAGCGGTTAAGAAGAACAATTTTTCTCCCTCCTCCTTGTAACAACCTTTTATATACTTGAAAACTGTTATCATGTCCCCTCTCAGTCTTCTCTTCTCCAGATTAAACAAACCCATTTTTTTTTCAATCTTCCCTCACAGGTCATGTTTTCTAGACCTTTAATCATTTTTGTTGCTCTTCTCTGGATTTTCTCCAATTTGTCCACATCTTTCCTGAAATGTGGCACCCAGAACTGGACACAACACTCCAGTTGAGGCCTAATCAGTGCGGAGTAGAGTGGAGGAATTACTTCTCGTGTCTTGCTTACAGCACTCCTGCTAATACATCCTAGAAGGATGTTTGCTTTTGTTGCAACAGTGTTACACTGTTGACTCATATTTAGCTTGTGGTCCACTATGAGCCCCAGATCCCTTTCCACAGTACTCCTTCCTAGTCAGTCATTTCCCATTTTGTATGTGTGCATCTGATTTGTTCCTTCCTAAGTGGAGTACTTTGCATTTGTCCTTATTGAATTTCATCCTATTTACTTCAGACCATTTCTCCAGTTTGTCCAAAACATTTTGAATTATAATCTTATCCTCCAAAGCACTTGCAACCTCTCCCAGCTAGATATCATCTGCAGACTTTATAAGTCTACTCTCTATGCCATTATCTAAATAATTGATGAAGATATTGAATGGAACCGGACCCAGAACTGATCCCTGCAGGACCCCACTCATTATGCCCTTCCGGCTTGACTGTGAACCACGGATAACTACTCTCTGGGAACAGTTTTCCAACAGGTTATGCACCCACCTTATAGTAGCTCCATCTAGGTTGCATTTCCCTAGTTTGTTTCTGAGAAGGTCATGCGAGACAGTATCAAAAGATTTACTAAAGTCAAAAAATACCACGTCTACTGCTTCCCCCCATCCACAGAGTATAAATGGGGCTGATTGGTTAAACTGCATGAAAAGTATGGAGATTTTTTTAAAAATCCACAAAATATATTGTTACTGTACCATTTAAAAATATATGTGGAACTTAAAAGAGTACAGTATACAGTATGTGAGTACTAATAAAGTCCAGTTTATATGTAACCAGCTCCTGCCATTCTGGACTTCTATAGGCCTTCTTTGCAAACAAATGTCTTGAATATTTAAAACTTATAAGAAGGAAATCTTGTAAACCAAATGTCTCTATTCTTTCTTTTAGAATATTTCAAAAGAGAAGACATTTTGGAACAACAAAGGGAGATTCTAAAAAAGGTTGCACCAGAGGCTCACATCAAAATTCATAAGGTAGTTTTTGTATTTTTCTTCATGTTACTGTTTAAAAAAAATAATATTGAAATGTCAGAATTCTTGTCACAGTGTTATCCTTTTTTAGAAGATCTTGCTTTAAGACAGATCACTATGTAATATGAAAAAAATACTTTTCTTCTGTTCCTTAAAAGGTTCTTATGTTAATTATTTATCTAAGCATTTGTTCGCCTTCATAAATATTTAATACTATTCCAAAGATTCACACTCCTTGCAAATGCCATGGCATAAGGATGTTCTTTGTTACTGTGAAATCCTGTGTAGGTGTTTTTAAAATAGTGGTGGGGAGACCCACAAACCTTTTAATTGGTAAAAATATATATAGATTATATCTGAGGGGAAAGCTAACTCTTCATTGCAGAGAAAGGCCGTAGTCCTAAATGCTAATTAAAATGTTTCCACTAATATAAGTTTTACATGTACGTGTAAAATTAATGTTTAGAAAGGAACAACATACATAAATATTATATATAAATATATTTAAAAGCATGTGTGTTTTACTGTTTGTCTAGTTCTGTGTTTCTTTGCTAATAAATGCAGAACGGATTTTCTTTTCAGAAATCTTTTAAGACATCAGTCAAAACTAACATATCGATCCCTGACTTACATTGCCAATTTATTAGATGCCGAGGGGAGAGGGGGGCTGAGGAAGGGCCTGACAAATAACTGGAGACTGAAAAAATCAAAAGTAGGAAAAAAATGAGGTGGAATCAAATAAATATATAGAGCAAGGGCCTGACAAATAACTCAAATGTTGATTGAGCCTCTCTTGTAGTGTATGGGGAGATTTTGGCAAACCAGTAAAGTGCCTGAAACCACTATGGCTTATTGCTAAAAGCAGCCTAGTCAGCAGTCTCATCTTGACCAAGGCAGGAGGGAAAGGGGTTTTGGGTGCCACAGAAAGGGCAGCTTGACCCCAGATTCTTTCTAATAAGAATTGTGCTGAAGTTGCTGAAACGTGCATTTTAGAAGAGCAGGATATGCCCAAGGAATGTCTATTGGGGCCTCAAGGCTGCAAACTCTGGAAAAACCCACACCTGGTTAATCAATCAGAAGGAACCTCTTGCTTGACCATTGAAACTGCTTACTTAACAAGTTTTCTTTAAGGGACATGTCATTCTATTACTAATGTATAAATAAGGGGGAAAAGTTTGAGGTAGTGGGACTCTCCCTCTGGATACATCTTGCAGTCCCCACCGGCAGATGGAAGATTTGGCCACTTGAAGCCTGCCGCTGTGCCATTCGAGAGCCACCCTCAGCTTTGTAATTATCAAGGGTTGGGAGTGTTTTACTAGCCTGTTGCAGACACGTAAGTGCTTGAGACTAAGTAAAGTTTAGCTTTAAGTTAAAGCACTCTTGTGTTGTCCTGTTTGTGCCAGTCATCTATCGGCCAGACGGCCGTGTCTCCCCTGATTTATTTCCTGACACCACCTCGCACAAAGTAAAAGTTACAAAGCGCTTTGGGTTGAAAGAACCCCGGTTAACAGTAGCACCATCAACAAGATGAAAAGCTGAAGATTTGAAAAGAGAGACATAAGAGAGCTATGTTGTTTCTTCATTGTATGGTGATCTTTCCCTCTCATTCAGGAATCAGCAACCTTTGGCATGCACCCTGCCAGGGTAAGCACTCTGGCAGGCCGGGCCGGTTTGTTTACCAGCTGCGTCTGCAGGTTTGGCCGATCACGGCTCCCTCTGGCCATGGTTCGCTGCTCCAGGCCAATGGGGGTGGCGGGAAGCGGCGGCCAGCACATCTCTCGGCCCGTGCTGCTTCCTGCAGTCCCCATGTGCCTGGATCGGCCGAACCTGCGGACGCGGCAGGTAAACAAACCAACCCTGGCAGGCCGTGTGCCAAAGGTTTCCGATCCCTGCTCTAATTGATCCTCATATTAACCAACCCTTAGTAAAATAGAACAGATATGTTGCATCTTTTGAATGGTAGATAAGTAGTACTGTGAAAAATTGAACAGTATTGTAGAAGAAAAGTCTAAAGAGACTGCCAGATCCAGCAGATTTTTGTGTGTTTAGAACTAGATTGGAGAGGGCATACAGAGGCTTCTCTGGAATCTTTGTGCAATCCACACTGGGGTTATGTTGACTGCTCCATTTCCTCTCCTCTGGGGGCACAAAGCACCCTATAGAGTCAGGGTGGAAATGGGGACTAGATAGGCACCTTGTACCCACTGACCATTGAAGCTGCAAAGACAAACAGGTAATTACAGGCTAGACTCCACGAAAGCAGCCTCTGCATGCCCAGAAGATCAGGGACTTATTTTTCCATAGGAGTTCCAAAATAGCAAAATTGTGCCCTCAGGTAGTTCTTAAGCGTGTGAATAAGTTCATTGGCTTAGATGGGACTATTTGTATAGCTAAAAACCAGGTGCATGACTAAGAGCTTGCTTGCTTAGGACTTCGTTTTGAAGAGAGAAGAGAAAAGGAAAACATTTCTATACAATAGTTTAGATTTTTTGCACAGCTCCTATTGTCCCCCTTCTGTTGATTTTGTATCATTATGGACAGATACAGAAGCACAGTACCATATAACACTTCACTGTTTCCAGGTGTAACATTTGGGAAAGGTGGTAGTTTCTTAGTTATCATCATACCAATAATACACTTGGTTCTTTAGCAGTTGGTTCTTTGGAGGATCACAAAATGGCCTTAGTTTGTATTCAATATACAGCACCATTTTTTCTCAAGCTAACATTCAGTACCAATACCATGTTGCTCCTCAGGAGTTGTTCTTTTGTTGAGAAGCTCTCTAGTGACACTCAGGAAAAAGAAACAGATAAAGTTTAAGAAACTTCAAACTTATCAAAGGAATCAGTCCTATGAAGAGCTGAATATCCTCTCCCACATTAATTTCAATGAAGTTGAGGGCATCCACCACCACATGGACTCAAACCCTGCATTGAGCTTTAATTAATTTCATAGAATTGAAGCCCATGGTTGTGATCATTAACTTTCCCTACTATGAATTCCTGTTTAAAATTATGATTGAGTCTTGCCTAAGCATTGTTTCACACTAGTAACCGACAGCACTGAGATTGTGTGGAGAGATGATAGAAAGCAGGTGCTGGGCGGGGGGGTGGGAGGAAGGTAGTGATAAAATGCAAAGCCTACTACATTCAGACAATATATGAAGGGTTGTGTATTTCAGAGTGAAGGAGATCGAAAACTCATAATCAAATTCAGAGTTTCCTCAAGTAAAAACCAAACAAACAAAAAAAACCCAGCAATGAGAGACAGAAGCAGAAAATAAAAATATGTACACTTGTAACCTTTAGTAATTTCTCCCCATTTCAGAAATACTTTCCCTCCTGATCTTGAGATGCTTTAAAGAATTCTGATGTAAATTAAAATAAAATCTCTTTGTATAAGTTTTAAAGTAGATTTTTTCAGAGTTATGAAGTTTTGTTGTGGATAGTGAATTTTCATTTTTCAGTTTTTTTACCCACTATGTATCAACAGTTGTCTAAGAATATGTCTATACTTCAGTTAGACACCCACAGCTGGCCCACGCAAGCTGATTTGGTCTAAGGGGTTGTTTAACTTCAGCACAGAATTTGAGCTCAGGCTGCAGCCTAAACTCTGGGACCCTCCCACCACACAGGTTCCTAGAGCCCAGGCTCCAAGGCAAACCTGATTGTCTATGCTGCAGTTAAACAACCCCTTAAGCCAAGCCATCTGGCATAGGCCAGCTGCAGGTTTTTAATTGCAGTGTAGGCATACCCTAAGACAGTAGTGAGAGCCTACTTAAATAAGCAGTATGACATTTAAGGAATATAGTAGGAATTTTTATATGAAGCTGGGCAGCTATCATTGTGATCTACTATTGATATTGCTCATGGACACTGAGTGCACTTCTCATGGAACATGGCTTCAGAGCATTTTCCTTGGCTTGCTGGTGTCATAACATATTCTTTAATGATGTCTGCTTTAATCCAGTGCCACAGTGCTCGGTGGTCTCTCACTGAGAACAAGTCTATGTCTTCTAATTGCAGTATGAGGTACAGAGCATTTGAAAGAGCAATCATTTATTAATTATCACCATACCATGATGCAAATACTGCCCTCAGTTGCACCCAGTCACTATCACTGAAGTTGAAGATGTTGCAGGGGTATAACTAAGGCAAAATATAGCCTTATGCCTTTAACATGAAGACTATCTATAGTACTCTTTAAAGGCTACATACTGTTTTTCTTCCATAACAGAATTCCCATTGACATCCCACTGATAAATTACTTTTTTACACAGATTGAGACTGGTATTAGACCATAAGCACAAAATAAATGGAACTGATGTTGTTCACATAGTCGATGGAAGTGATACTCACTAACAGCAGATCAAGCATGCCCTTTAAGTGTGCAAATGGCGACATGAAGAGCAGAGTTAACTGCAATCAGTCAGTGGTTACACTAACATGGTAAAATTGGCCAATAGCTGTCTAAGCCTTAAATTTAAATATGAAACTAATCTCTCAAGCTTGATCTGTTAATTGAGTCAGAAACAATTTTAGACACAGACACCCACAAAGATTTATTTAATATGGCCATGACAATCATCTTCAATAATATCTCTCTATATTTTACGTATAAATTATCATCCCATATATGGGATGATAATTTATACGTAAAATATAGAGAGATATTA